TGGATGTCGTTAACCCAGCACCTTAGACTAGCTTCAGCTGGGGTAGACTAGAAACGTCATTGATGGAGATAAGCTTGCCTGTAAAGCTCCCATCAGTTTGGCTTTGAGAACAACCTGCTGCTAGGCCAATTCAATTCGCTCTTGCTTTAGGCTTGTCGTGTTTATCCCTTATCCGGTGTACGGCTCCCTTTTTACGAAATATACCCCACCAATTTGCCGTGGCAAAATCGCACACCATGGCGTTGATACGTTCTCTTCAGAAGAGCGCTGCATCTGCTACGCGGCTTGCTGTTAGATCGCAGTTCCAGAGAACCAGTCTCCCGTTAGTAGCTTCGAGATTAGCTTCCACAATACCCGTAAAGGTGAGCTTTCAGTCGCCAGGAACGTCGCATCGGTATAGGAAAGGAATTGACTCGTCAATTGACGGCTCTAGCTCAATGACCCCTCTTTATTCAAGACGGACGTGTGCTACGTTAATGGCGAATGGGTGAAAGCCGCCTCGGGTAAGACATTCGAGGTCCACGACCCCGCAACAGGAAAGCTCATCGGAAGTTGTCCCGAGTTTGACGCGAAAGACACGGAGAAGGCGATCGCCGCCGCCGCCGAGGCATTTAAGTCCTTCCGTACGAAGACCGGCCGCGAGCGGTCCAAGTTGTTGCGGAAATGGTACGACCTGGTGATGGAGAACTCGGAGGACTTGGCGAAGTTGATCACTTTAGAGAATGGCAAACCTTTCGCGGACGCAAAGGGCGAGGTTAACTATGCCGCGCAGTTCTTCGAATGGTTTAGCGAAGAGGCCCCGCGCTCATACGGCGACACGATACCAGCGACCGTGCCTGGTAACAGAGTTGTGACGTTGAAGCAGCCCGTGGGCGTCTGCGGGCTGATAACACCGTGGAATTTCCCTGCGGCTATGATCACGCGCAAGATTGGCCCTGCCCTCGCCGCGGGCTGCACGACAGTGTGCAAGGCCCCAGGCGAGACCCCATTTACATCGCTAGCACTAGCGGAACTTGCACACCGAGCAGGCATACCGAAAGGCGTTGTGAACATCGTCACCGCGCTCAAAAACACCCCCATAGTTGGTGAGACTCTAACAACGCACCCCACTATCCACAAGATATCCTTTACAGGCTCTACGGGGGTTGGAAAACTCCTGGTGAAGCAGGCGTCATCGACTCTGAAAATCTTATCTATGGAGTTGGGCGGAAATGCACCATTCATAGTATTTGACGATGCCGACGTCGATGCCGCAGTCGCTGGTGCCATTGCGTCCAAGTTCCGTTCATCGGGCCAGACCTGCGTTTGCGCAAATCGTATCTACGTCCAGAAGGGTATCTATGACGAGTTTGCCAAGAAATTCGCCGAGAAAGTCAGGGCCTTTAAGGTGGGTCACGGCTTCGACGAAGGCATTACTCACGGCCCCCTAATCCACGATCGTGCCGTTTCCAAAGTCGATGCCCATGTGAAGGATGCGTTGCAGAAAGGCGGGAAAGTCGTCGTGGGCGGCCAGAAGATGCCAGAACTTGGATCTAACTTTTACCAACCTACCGTGATTACAGGCATGACAAAAGACATGGCTATCGCGTGCGAGGAGACCTTTGGTCCCGTTGCCGGCCTCTTCCCCTTTGACACCGAGCAAGAAGTCGTGGACCTGGCAAACGCTGCTGAGGTTGGATTGGCCGGCTACTTCTTCTCGAGGGATCTAGAGAGGATAAACCGGGTAGCAGAAACGCTAGAGGTTGGCATGGTAGGCGTCAATACAGGTCTTATCTCCGATGCAGCGGCGCCGTTTGGAGGTGTCAAGCAGTCTGGGTTTGGCAGAGAGGGATCCAGGTATGGCATAGAGGAATACCAGCATATCAAGATGATCACATACGGCGGTATGGGTAAGCCGTTACAAAGCTAGAAACATATTAAGCAATTAAGAATATATAACGATGATGATGATGATGATGATGATGATGATGATGATGATGAAGCGAAGCCTTGGACAATGTGAAATGGGATTCTATAGAAGTTTACATTCCCATCCCCTCCTCGGGATGTTGAGAATGGGTCCAATAGGTGCCTGAGCTTTAGGGTGGGGGAGATCCCCCATAATACAAGATACCTGTTTAAATGCATATATACATCCAATACGGGTACCTATCCATTCACTTGCCCAAGCGTCTCCGATCTCAAAATTTCCCACCAGAGGGCTCAAGCGGCACTCCATACAGCCAGCCACACTGATTGAGCCCGATGATACGCCAACCATTCAATTCGGCCGTCGGCCGCACGAGGGGTGATCTGAGCCGAGTCGCAGACGGCATCGCGGCCTCCCTGCGCGCATTCTCCACCGCCCAGCAACTCGCCGCGCCCCCTCCAGACAGTAACGATGGTGACAACCGACGACCGACGGGGTGGCAACGGGCCGCCGCCGCCTTCTCCGACCTCGTCGAGATGAACAATGGGGGCCCGTCATCAACACAAATGCCGCAAAGATCGAGTACACTCCAGCCCCAGAGGGGTACCGTATTCAGATCACTCGACCTACGGTCTGCCTCGGCCCCCATCACGGTTCCCGACGCCTCCTCGCCCCGCGGTCCCAACATCATCCGAGGCGGTCTGCGCGGGTCCTTCAGAGGTGCCTTCAGAGGTGCCTTCAGAGGTGCCTTCAGGGGCAGAGGCGGTTTCTCCCGTGGCGGGATGGGGGGTCAAGATGGTGGGATGGGGGGTTTAGGTGATGGTGGAAGATTTCCGGCACGCCGTGGCCGTGGCCGTGGCCGTGGGGATCGGGGGGACGGGCGCGAGCGCAGGCCCAAACGAGGTCAGGGGGAAGAAGAGGAGGACAAAAACGAAGTAGACGAGGACTGGTCCCCCGAGGTCCTCGCCATGCGGGAGGCCGCGGAGCGGGGCTCGCTGCACCAGTACGAACCCTCCTTCTCGATGAGCGACCTCGCGGGCTGGGGCCCCGCCGTGGCCACGGCCAAGTCGAGCTTCGCCAAGGAAGAGACGGTGCTGCGCCAGGCGCGCATCCTCGGCGGCGGGCAGCCCTTCCACCCCGAAAACACCCTGATGTCGAAGGACATGTGGAAACAGTATAAGGAGGGCACGGGCGTCTTCTTCCCGAACGACGAGGCGAAGAAGTGGGCGGCTGGCGCGATGGGCCTGGAAGCTTTCCCGCCGGTCCCCAAGGAGACCAAGGATGCGGTGCTGCAGGACGCGCTGCTCGGTACGTACGACGGCCCGCAGTACGCTGAGCGCACGGGGGATCCGCTCAAGATTGTGCAGAACTATGTGAAGCGGGACGCCACATGGAATGCGGATGCCATGCGACGCATCGAGGCGAAGGTTAAGAGTCTGTTACCTAAGACGGAGCCTACGGGGACTACCAATGGAGCGAGGCCAAACGCTTAGAGATGAAGAAAGCCTCCGTTAACAGAGCATCTATTTACGAAGGGGGACATTGAGAGTGAATGTGCCCATGAGACAGCTAGATCACGGCTCTAGCACCTAAGTGTACCATACCATTTTGTAAAAGAGCAACTACCTATGTAATGTACGAGTGCACCAACACACGTGGCATCGGCTATGAATCGTCCCACGCGCGAGAATATGCTTCTAGGCAACAAATGTTATGCAACAGAGTTCACATCTTTCCCAAGACGTGCGTGACAAAACACACGAGCCAAAAAAAATCCACTGCTCTATTTCGCCTCGGCGACCTTCACCGCGCTCTTCTCGGCCTCATCGACCTCGGCAATCGCAGCCTTGATGACCTTATCGAGCTCCTTATCAGCAGTCCTCTTGAGATCAGGACCAAGGGCGCCGTCCTTCTTCCATGTGACATGGAGCTTGTCCCTCTTCTGGCGAACGGCGCGGACGCGCTCGCGCCACTCGTGGGCGACGGCCCTGGCGCGGCGGACGAGGTCGTCTGGCTTCTCGGGCTCGACCTTGAGGAGCAGCTCGAGCTCGTTGTCCGGGTCGCGCTGGGGCTGCTGGTTGAAGTCGGGGCTGGCCTGGACGGCGCTCATGATGGGCTTGACGTAGGCGGCCTCGTGCACGAGCAGGGACACGGCGCGCCCGCCGCGCGGCACCACCTGCGCCAGCTCCCGCAGCGGGTACGCGTCGCCGGCCTTCTTGTCCACCGTCACGCTCAGCGCCCCCACCACGTCCGGGTCGAACCGCCCGCCCGTGTGCATCTTCTTCAGCGACGCCTTGAAGTGCTCTGCGTGCCGCTGCAGGCGCGACTCGACGTCGGCGAAGTTGAGCGGCTCCTCGGGCGACGGCTGCGGGTGCTTCGGTCCGTCATCTGCCTCGGCGCTGCTGCTGCTGCTGCTGTTGTTGGCGGGTTTCTCAGCCGACTTGCCGCGCCCGGGCTTCTGGTTCTCTTCTTTCTTCTTCTTGTGGGCGATGGGGGACGCGTGGAAGGCTCGTGTGCCCTGTGACAGATGGAGTGACGACCCGGCAGTGGTGGATGCGAAGAGGGGTCGTTCACAACGCTGGCATGTCGGCCGGGCGTTCACGATGCTTGCACGCGCTACATCGTAGCTACTGTCATGAAGGGTGAGCGAGGGGGCTTTGAGAGGGTCAATTGGGTAGGTAGCCATACGTTCTCCCCGCCTGGGGGCGTGCAAGTCCCTGGCGCAACAGAGCTCGGGCTGCTGCGTTGCTCATTTTGGACGGCTATCTCTGAGGTTTTGGGGTGCTTGGAGCTCCCTTCCTAGCTCTGCGACACGATCCAGTAGTCAATCGAATAGCCCACATTTAAGGTCGATTCGCGTATCGATAAGATTAGAGATTAGGTATAAGTAGATGAGGTAATGTTACCCCGCCACTATCTACTTAGATAACGAAAAAGAACTAACCTAGGGAAACTTGCATATGTAAGCATGAGATAGGTACTCACCTAACCAACCCCCTGAGGACGCATGTCTAGTACAAAAAGAACAACTTGTCGATTGGACCCAACGCAACTCGAGTACTAGAGAATGCCCAATAAAGGGGCAAAAAGCTGTTCTCGCCCGGGCTCGAACCGGGGATCTTCTGTGGGCTTCAAGATTTTAATCTCTTGTAAGACAGACGCCCTAACCAACTAGGCCACGAAAACTGAGCTGAACGAGATGTTCTTTTCGCATGGTGTGGAAAAAATACGCCAAAGATTATATAGGACAAACGCAAAGTTTCGCTATATGTACCCCCTAAATCATAAATTTACTTGTTAGAAGTAACTACTCCTAACATTGCTTATTACCTATGTAGGTATTAATGGTATAATCTTTATATGTGTTAAGTATACTGTTGATTAATAAAAGCATATCTATTATTTGCTTTGAGAAGGAATTGTTACAGGTTTGTACAAGACTGATCTTTATCTATGATTCCCAATTTGTAAAAGTTGCCTTCTAATAAACCGGCGTTAAGTAGTCAATGAGTTATACTCAGGGGGAAATACTTGGTCACTATTCGATTCAAACTACATATGCCTATTGCCCTCTTAGGTACACGTGTATACGATAGTTCATTGAATAATGCCCAGTAGCATGCCCAGTAACACATGACATCCCCATCTAAATTCAAAGCAAGCAGATCTTGCTTCTTCTATATACTATCTACTATCAACTAACATCCCAAGCCTCGATCCCAACACCAGCAACCAAGACCCTCCCTCTACCATTCCCATCCAGGCGACCCTCATCCCCGTCTCCACAACTCTCTCCCACGACCTCCAAATCCCCCGCATCCGCGACGCCACTATACCGATCATCAAGCAAATGGACGCGCAGGGAAGCAGAGCACCAGTCGACGAGCCGCCACGTCTTGACGCGCTGGTCGTTGCTCGCGGTGACGACCACCGCGTCCCGTCCTCCGCTCTCGAGCCGCGCGATCCCTAGCCCCGTGACGGCAGCGGCGTGCGCGGAGCGCACGATGGATTTGTTGCGGATCTCGTACGTCTGCCCTGACGGGTGGCGATGCAGATGCATCACCCCGATCGCGTCGTCGTCGCCCCCTGTGACGACTAGGTAGGACGTCCCCGTGGCCGTGATGATGCTGCGTATGTCGAGTGATTTTATGGTGCTTTGGTGGAGTTTCGTGACGAGCATCTCTGTCGGCTCCTCGGTTTCGTCCTCGGGGGGTCGGCATCGGATGTCTGTGAATACGGCTAGGTGGCCGTCGGTCGCGGCGGTTAGAATCCGCGGATAGCACCCGTCTGTGAAATCTAGATGTCTGAGTTGTGTGAGACAGGCGCCGGTATATGTCTGCCTACCCAACAGCTGGAACCCTTGTCGCGCAGAGTAGAGATAACTCTGTACTGAAGAGTTTGAGAGCGTCATAGAAATGCAGAACTTTGGTCCTGTCTGCAGCCCCCCTGACTGGACATCGCTGCCGTCGGCTTCGTCTTCGGCTCTGGCATCCTCGTTTAAGCACTGCACGTCGAAATCCGTAATCCGTAAATCGCCCACCTCGGAGCGGTCCGGGAATACAGCCTCGCAGACGACGCCAAGTGGACAGATATCGCTTTCTAGGGCCGTAATACGCCAGACGAAGAACTCCTCGTTACCACCGCTACTAAAGAGGTATTGGTCCTTAAACCACTTCAGTTTCTGAATGCCCGTGTTGTGCTTTTCCAAGGCAAGCACGCAGCGCAACCGTTGTTCTCCTCGGTCCGTCTCGTGAAGCTCCCATATGCGGATCATGGTGTCCTCGGCGCCCGTGGCGACGTACTTCCCCGAGGCCGAGGCGGACTTGATCTCGCGGCCGTGGCCGCCCGTCTTGAGCGGAAGATGCGGGGCGCACGTCTGTGAGAAGATCCTCATCTGTGACGCCTTGGTGCAGGCGAACCGCAAACCTTCGGGGTTTCCCGCGACCTGCACCTGGTCGAAGATGCGATGTCCGCCGCCGCAGTCGATCGTCGCGACCTCGGTCTGCTTCGTCTCGTTCCAGAGTACAAAATATTTGCCGCGGAAGCCGCAGAGCATGAGATCGCGTTTCCCATTTGCTTTGTCGAATAGCCAGGACCCTTCGATTAGGGGCCCGAATGGCGGTTTTGTCTCGTGCAGGAGACGGAGTTGGAGGGTACTTGTCGTGCCGAGGATCTCATAGATTCTATATTTCCCGTCGCGAGCAGTTGTAAGTAGATAAAGTGGCGAGTTCTCAGATTGCCGTGGTAAGGGGAGAATTGAGGTGATCTTGTCCCCAATTTTAACTTGTATTGTCAGAAGTGGTGAGTAATCCTCATCAGTGGTCATGTCAAAGACTGACAAGCTCCCGTTTCTAGAACCGAGAATAAGGTAGTTGTGACACCATGACGCACTGGTCACGATGAATCTATCGGGTATTTTAACCTCCGTCTTCTGTATCAAAATGCGGTTTTGGTCAAAACGGAGAAGCTCCGCCTTCGTACTTCCGAACACCGTGACAAGAAGTTCGATATATCCATCTGGTTCTCCAGCAGCGCCGTAGTCTGTATGCGGAGGCAATGCGATGTTATCAGAAAGGCAGAAAATATCTATGATTTTTCGCTCTGCTTTATAGATTGATTGAAGCGAATCACGGCTAGCCTCATGATAATAAAATAACTCGCCGTTAGGCGCGCCAATGAAGGCCGTCGAAGCTTTTCTTGGACTTCTCAGGATGGTATATGATTGTATGGTCTTTCGAATATTATCCGGGATTGTGAGCTCTTTCCACTCTGTCTTGCTGTCAAATCTTCCAAGGAATAGGCGACCAGACCTTGTCGTGAGGAGTAACTTGTTATCTGATATGAACGCAAAGCTTTGGAACACCTCCTTTCCGTTCCCATGCTTAAAAGACGAGAGAGAAGAGGTGGTTCCGAGGTTTTGCTGTTGGCATTGTTCGATAAGAGACATTGGGGATATGTCGAGTTCTTGGATCGAATGCAGGTAATGACTGGCATCGTCGTCTAAAGTTCTTAATACATGGCTAGAGTTGTTCTCCATGAGCGCTATCTTGCCATCTCCACCTCCGGTCGCTATTAAAAGACCATTTTTATCGGTAACCATAGCGTGAGACCAAATTTGCTTCCCTCTATGATTAGAGAAAGTCTCGTGGTGCGTCAACTTAGAGGGGGGTTCACCAGGGCTGTTTGATGCCTGTGTTTTGGGTGTTCCTGAAATCGCCTCTAAGCCTTTGTTTAGGTCGAGATGCCACTTTTGCATCGTAGCATCTTCGCCAAATGAGTAAACCTCAACTATGTCCCCGCTAGCGAGGAGACCTGGACTGTTAATCTCGACTTGCCATATCCTGGATACATGACCCATAGCTATCGCGATACACCTCGAATGGCTGCTAACTAGGCCTATCGAGCCTATAATAGAATCGCCAAACCCAGTCTCCCGCGCGTCGGAAATTTGTGTTCCGTACTCATTTCTGTCATTCGTAGGTTCATCGCTTCGTTCTGTAATGTCCCAAATTCGTATCGTCCTGTCATCACTACAACTCGCGAGTAGCCTAACCGTTTCCCCTGAACTCATGACTATCTCGGGCGAGATGTGAACGCCGAAGATTGAGCCTTCATGGCCCGAGAACACGAAGAGCACCTCACAGCCGGCTGTTTCTCCCTTTTCTTGTGTTTCATCCTCCCTGGTACCACGACCATAGTCATCAGAGTTGAGGTGACACTTCCAAACCACAATCTCGCCAAATACAGTCCCGGCAGCCACAAGCACACAATCCTGGTTGACCCAGAAGAAGTTCCCCGAGTACAAGATTGGGCGTGAAGGGGACCGTACTCGGTCTAGAAGAAGCGTCTTCCGGTCTGCACTCACATGCCCCTGTACGACCTCGTTATGTGCCGTGAGTAGAACAATGTGAGTATCGTCAAAGGGCGAGATCCGGCCGTCAAATATCCAATCGGGGGCAATAGCCTCGGGTGCGGCAAGCGCGGTGGCTATTAAACCAGATCTCTCAAAAGCACTACCATCACTCTCTGTAGTGCTTGCATAAACTAGCTCCTCTACGACTCGAGTAGGTAGTACTTTGACGGCATGGCCGCCCCAGACGAGGATTTGGGAGGGGCTCTTGGGGGCGCCAGAGCTGCCGCGGTCCTCTTCAGCAGCTGGGGGCACTGAAATTCCGTGAATAGGTTGCGCATGGAAGACGGGCAAAGCGCCACAGAGTCGTGAGGCCGCGACATCGTAAATCTTGATGTCTGTGTCCTCGGCCGCGAGTAGGTATTGCTTCTCGCCCAGCGTCAAAAACGCAAGCGCCGTGATCGGACTCAGCACATACTCGCGGCAGAGTCGGCCGGGAGTTGCCGCCTACAAGTGATGAATGTTAATAAAAACGGCCTAAGCATAGATATGCCCTTTCCGTGCGTGACAGCTTTCACGCCGTGTTTTTTGGTATCAATGATTTTCTAGGGATCTGATGGGACTCGTGTTGTGGGGCCTGAGCACCTTGGTGAGGATTTTTCCCCCAAACGAAAAGCAGACTTACATCGTCAGACATTGCTTCCGAGTTCTCATAACGGTGCCATATGCTAGCTTAAAACAGTGAACTGGGCGGAGGCATGATTTGTCTATTGGGAAAATTATTGACGGGGCAACAGTTTCTTACAAATGGACTACTCTAGTGTATCAAAACCGAAGCACGTGATTAGCGTCGTCCAAGCAAGCTTTTACGACGATTAGAGAGGTTCACGCAGTGCTACGATACGAAGATCAACCTGATTTAAAATGTCATCATACATTTCATTACGGTATCGACTAGTCGAATTATCCTGGGTATTCCCTCGAGACACACACTTAACCCCCTTGCAACCCCTAGACAGACTCTGATCGTTCAACCCGATCGTAACCCAAGCGCCGGCAAATGCAAACCGAAGGAATATAAACCTCTAATCTAATCCATATGACACGCCCTTGTCATTATGTTCATCAACCCACTTAGACCCGGGAATGAGAGTACGGCTCATAAGCAAGATCTGATCGAGCGCCACCACGTTGAGGGGCACCGTAGTTGTAACCGCCGTAACCGGAGTTGCGGTTGTCACCAAGAGGAGCGTAAGAGCCGGTTGCGCCGTTCTTTTCGGTGTCCAAGTGACGCGTGCCCTTGCCATGAGGACGGTTCTCCGGCTTGCAGCAGCAG